TATATATATATAGGCTTTATAGACAGATAAGTTGAGAGTGACTCTTGAAGGACCAGCACCACATCCTCTTGTACCACTGAAGAATTTATCTTCTAGAATCTGGCAGTAAGTTTTGGGAGTTCATTTTTAGTCCATCTCGAGATTTTATCTGTAGACGATAACCTGCTTAATAATTATGCACACCTGAATATAAGGCGTTTTTCACTTCCAGCCTTCATGAACAATAATATATAGGTTATAAGTGATTAAATACAAGATGAATAGTAGTTATTAAGATTGATGTTGTTTGGAATTGGTAAAATGTGCTTGGAAAAAAATATAATCAGAATATCAACTCGCATAATAATTATGTTTGCACTGTATTTTCCCTCTTCCGCTGTCATCAGCAATGCAAGGAATGTTGTGATTGGTTGTCAAGGCAGCCAATCAGAATTTTGCAGCCTCGTCTCTGATTGGCTGGAATTATGGCATATTGTAACGCTGGGTTGTTTAGAGAGCACTGAGGGCGGGCTTCAAGTGAGCAAGCTAGTGAAGCGTTGCACGCGCAAAAGAGAAAGTCTGCACACATCCAAAAACTTATTTTAAATGCAAAATTGATTTTAGTGTGCTCGAAATACTTATTTTCTCCACAAAACTCAGTTCGCGCGCGTGCCAAACGCACGTTTGCGAGCTCAAAATATCTTTCGTGCGCAGAATTGTGGCAGAGATCTAACCCTATACAGGACCAGCCAGCCCACAGCTGTAGTTTCATTAGTGTCCAGTAGAGGGCATGTAAGCAAAAACGTACTAACTTTCACTTGTATTCTGTGTGGTGTTTTCATTTTGCCCAGCTCCATAAACTGTACGAAATTCAGTGTAAGATGAATTTCAGTCATGAACGAAAAAACAGAAAACATCTAAATAGGAGAAATCTAAAACATCTAAATTCTGATCGTCAGTTAACACTTCTGAGTGGAAAGTACACAAAATTCTTTTTAAATGTACGAAAAAATCTGTTCTATTTGAGTTTATTAAAATGAGCAGCTTGGTTTTGGACTATACCAGGGTCTATATTTTAGTGAGTGCATGTGATTTAATTGGTTAAAAAGAAAGACACAGATCAATTGAATCCCAGTCACTCCTTTATTCACCCATTGAAAGACAAATCAAACCGTTATCTGGCCAGTTGATTGCAGAAATGACTTATTAACATTTTTCTCACCTTTTCAGGTGATAATTTGACACCTTCTGCCCCCAGTAAACATCACATTTGACAATCAAATTTTAAAAAACAAACCAAGAAAAAAAAGGTACGAAAAGAAAATCTCTTTCAGCAATTACAACAAGTATAAAAAAAAACTTCACACTTTCTCCTCAGATCATGGTATGGGGCCGCAGATGTTCAGTGCTGTGTGTTCCGGAGAGGGGGGTGGGATTTTGAGTTCTGGGTTTTACGTTCTTGAGAGGCCACGGTTGTCAAGGTCTTTGACCTGTGGAGGTAAACCAGGACATCATCAGTGGAAGTTCAGATGGTTTAGAGGGACAGTAAAGGTTAAAGATGCACAGGTGAGTTCAGATGTACCTTGTATATCCTGACGAGCCAGTGCTCTGTAGTATACGCTTCCTCCAGCACATCCAGTTCAAAGTCCTTGTTGCCAATCTCAGCGTTACGAACTCTGTCATAACCAGGAGGACGCTCTGGAAAGAAAAGTAAATGTAGAGTTTAATTCTAGTCATCACTAACTTCATAGACTTTTTTTGTTCAAACCCTGAACTAAAACTCAACATGAAACAGCATTTGCAACTCATTTAACTTCCATAATGTCAGTTATTTATGAAAATAATAAAAATAAAACATTCGAAAAAATAACATTAAATAGCAAAATAATATTCAATAAAATAATGCTAATTCATAGTGTTTTGTTGACTAAAACTAAAATTGAAACTAAACTATTAAAAACTTTAATTTTCATTAATTGAAATAGCTAAAATTTTATTAAATTTTAGATGAAAAAAAAGAAAAGAACATTTTAATTTTGCCTTGGAAACTAACTGAAAAGGAATAAGTTGAAGCACCAGAATCACTCAAATATTTTTAAAAAAGCTAAACTGAAAAAAAAAAAAAAAACTAATACTAGCCAAAAAATACTAGCCAAAACTACAATTAAAAAGAAAATATAAAAATACAAGCTATTTCTAAATATTAATAAATTCTTTAACAGCACATAAATAATACTAAAATAACACTGTTAATAAAAATAACTAAAATCATATTCAATAAAATATTTAAAATAATTAAATTAATAATTATTTGATGTTATAACTAAAACTGTTAAAAATAGTTGAAATGCTAATTGAAATAAAGCTGAAATAAAATAAAATATAAATTTAAGAATATAAATAAAATGGAAAAATATTGCCTTGGTAAATAACTGAAAATAATTTGAAATACTACAATTAATTACAAAAATTAAATTCAATCACAAGAAAGGAATGAAAGAAAAGATTTTAAAGTGGGCGTAACTACATTAATTGGAGAAACATCTTACTGATCAAGTATGGTAAACAGTTAGTAAAAAAAAAAAGAAAGACAGAAAGAAAGAAAGAAAGAAAGAAAGAAAGAAAGGAAACACACAGGAGATACTTACTGGCTTCGGTGTAAACCTGGCCGAAGCGATAGTAGCACATCTTGTACATGAGGCAGTTGAGCAGGACGGGGGACCCCTCGCGGTCCACGCGGAACTCTCCGGTGGGTGTGTAGTAGTCGTGTTCCTTTATGTGCCTCCCTGTGTCCGTGCTGCCCCCGATACGGACCATCCACAGGAACTTATTAATGTCTACACAAACAAATACACATAAATGTATTAATTTTTACATGTTATTTAGGTTCCATCCAATCCAGATACTACAATTCAAACATTAACAACTAGGGATGCACCGAAAGGATTTTCTTTGGCCGATACCGATATTAACAAAAACCTATTGGCCGATTCCGATACCGATATTGGTCAATTGCATAAAGCAGGGCTTAAAAATGAGAGAGAAAAAAAAAAGACTGGTGCACTCCGAGCAGAATCTGTATTTGAGCGTTTCTGTTCCTGCGTTCCTCTGTGAAACCAGTTTGACTAGAAAAAAATACTGGTTAATAACGTTATTTTTAAAACTTTTTCTTTGCCAATAATAATAATAATAATAATAAAAAAGTACAGAGTTTAATTTACTCAAAAAAAAATCAAAATCATGAAGAGAGTCTTGATCTCGCTTAGTCATAGCCAATACAGCATCATCTTTTCTAGATTTACCAGACCAAATGTATTAAACAAAAGAAAAAACTGTCAACGCATTAAAGGGGTCATAGGATGCTACATGCACTTTTACAAGTTGTTTGAACTGAAATGTGTTTTGGCAGTGTGTGTACACAACCACCCTATAATGATAAAAATCCACCCAGTGTTTTTTTTTTTTAATCTGTTTAAAATTTGTTTTCCCCTTTCTCAAATTGAGCCGATCTCAGATGCCTGAGAGGCCCCTCCCACGATAGTTTGATTGACAATAGTGTTTCAGCACTGACTGGACTGGTGTCTTACCTTCGACCCGCCCTGAGTGAGCTGTCATCAGTCCACCATCTACAGAAGAAGTGAGTATAATGTTTTGTAATGAATCTTTGCAAATCGCCTTTCCAAATAATGTGCTAATTAGCAAGTTTCACGATGAATGCGGCTAAAGTAAACAGTCTCTCTGAGAGCAGCTTGGAAGAGAGGGGTGGGGGTCAGCAGCGCTCATTAACATTTAAAGGAAAATGCTACAAAAACGGCTTGATCTGAAAAGAGACATGAAAGTATTTTTTAAGATATTTAAAAATGTTTCAGCATTGATTAAAAAAAAAACGCTACTCCTATAAGCGTTTTGAGAGGGAAAAAACAGCCTAAATTAGTAGGCTGTACGTTGCATTTTATTATTAAATTCAGAAATAATGTAGGCTAATATACCGGTAAATAAAAGCAAAATTACAAACACAATTAGGCTATTTTAGTTCCCTTCTCTCCACAACAAATCCTTTCAGAAGATCCCTAAAGAATCATATCAACTTGTAGAAAATGGGCATCCTATGACCCCTTTAAAAACATGAAAGTATTTTTTAAGATATTTAAAAATGTTTCAGCATTGATTAAAAAAAAAACGCTACTCCTATAAGCGTTTTGAGAGGGAAAAAACAGCCTAAATTAGTAGGCTGTACGTTGCATTTTATTATTAAATTCAGAAATAATGTAGGCTAATATACCGGTAAATAAAAGCAAAATTACAAACACAATTAGGCTATTTTAGTTCCCTTCTCTCCACAACAATCCTCTAAAGTTGTATTTAGGCTAAACATAAGCGTCAAGCC